TTGTCGCGTATCGCCGTGAAATTCGTCTACGTTACGTGATAAATGGGCGAACACCAACCTCCGGCGACATCTACTGAAATGAATAAATATAGAAAAGAAAGGAACCCGATAACGACCCGCTGCTCCCCAGAGATTTGACTTTTCACGCTGATTTTCATTCTTGGTTTCTAGTCTGATTTTCGTGTCTCGGGTCTATTGTTTACTCCTCGAATATTCCGACATTTGTTAGTATTTTGAAATTAAGTATTACGTACTGTGTCAAGTGCTATCGCGAAGTATCGATTCGATATCTATAAAATTAGTATCGTAACATCAGAATTCAATATTCATACACTTCTGACTTTATTGCAACATAAAGTGTTTCGTAAGACACATTAGAATTTCATGTCGGCCGAGTCCCGGGAGGAAAATAAAAATGTTCTCGATATAAACATATTCTGTATCTTCATACGCGACGAAATAAATGGGGCAAGCGGTTTTTTCACGCATAAATAACGACACGAATGTTCGAAGGAAATTTTTCATTTGCAAGGTACTCTTTCGGGACTATCGTTCGGAAAGTTTGCAACGGTTTAAAATACATACGCTCGCATGATGCTTCCCTGCATTTTCCAGATATTCCCATTTCGCAGTTATTCACCACTTGAACTGCATTTGCGTTGAACAAGAGATACAAAAAAAAGCACGTGTATCGCTAGCTTATTGCATTGCATATATCTTTCATACAGTATTTTATTTTTCTCTCTGTTTTAATCATTTCCACGTACGCGTATCGAATCCCGAGTTATACATCGCTTTGCTTTTTTTAGAGTTTCTCTATCGCGAAACGTGATAGCGTTTTTTAACAATTTCGGAACATCTTGAAAAGCAGATTTGAAAGTCAGAGTTCCATTTTTCAACGAATCGATCTGAACGCAACAAATTACTTTTGCTGTATAGCCAACGAATCAAAGGATATTTTTAGTTTCTACTGACTCATTCCGTATATATTGCTCCTTCCAGAAAAAAATATGCGGCTCATTTTTCAAAGGAATCGGTTAACGTTATTTTAATGTGCCCCTGCTGGCGCGGCCAACGATTCTATATCGCTCGCTCGAGCGTTTTTGCGTTTTTTATCGTCATCCCGTTAGTTTTTATACGTTTCACAAAACATTTTACGTCCAACAACTATTTCAAGCGACCACCAATTCCCTCAAGCCTTTTGTTCCTTTTTTTACCGAGGGATTTATTAAAATTACAGTCACTTGTTCCAAAGCAAAACAATGCGAGTTCACTGAATTTCTAGGTTTTAATAAACATGCAAAATCCGCGTTCTCTTTTTCCAGATGATAACCTTAGTTGCGATCATTGTTTCTCGAAATGCTGTTCCTGATTATTCGCCTGAAAAACGAAAATTGCTCTGCATGCAAAGTAACTCGCGTTCCTTATTTACGGTCGAGTCGCTATTACAACTCAAAGGGAAACCACCCGGAAAGAACGATCCCCTTATCTGTAAAGATACCGCTTTGTGCTTTCCTTCTTTTTCTAATTGCTTCTTACGTGGCGGTGACCTTTTCATTACGTGGGTTATTACAAGATCTAATTACAAGATCCGAATGAAGGACCTTTCGAAGATCTATTAGCATATTTTCCCTGTGGAGTATTATAAGCTCATCCTGAGATCGAAAAATTGTCATCAGTTAGCCGAAATCACGAGGAGCAAGGATAAGCTACTGCGAAACCATCGTAAATGGTTGAACCATTAATCAGAGGTGCAGTCTGCATCCTGTGCTCGTGGAATTCCATCCTCACGTTTCGGTATGTTCTCCGCATATCATTCATCGCGTGCCATTTTCCATCTGGCACCGAAGTGATACAATTACCTCCTGCGCGAGCGCAAACAAATGAAACGACCAGTCATTAGCGAGTAATAAATGACGAAAACCGTCTTCCGACCAGGGAATTTCATTACACGCCTCTTGGAGAGCCGTTTCTGTTTACCGTGCATGAAAACCCTCTAGCGCGAATTGCAAACAACGGAAAGCCGTGATAGCCTTTCATTTGAAGGAACGAATGTACCGTGAAAGAATCTAAGCGCAAACACTGTAGAGAAGAATAATGCTCGTTCGAATATCGTACAAAGAAAGATTTTAGGTGCCATAAGTTAAGCTGCTTAAGTGGTATTGTTATTAAGTGCGCGCGTGCTCGTAAGACTTTTATCAAGGTGGGTATAATAACGAACGTGGCCGACAAAAGTTGCGAGAGAAGGCAATACTTGTCACGTTTCGTCGTAATATACGTCTGACAATAGGCTGTCCGTTTTCCCTTACGCCTCGTAGCCTTCACGCCATAACATGTACCCTGCTGTAATTTTCTGCCACGAGAAACGTTCGGGTCAAAGATACACTCGGATTATTACAAACTTTCAGAAAGTTTTAGGCAAGCAATTCTTGGGAATAAATTATCTTCTGCTACTGAAAGTCCAATAAAGCAGTTTAAAATAAAATAGAAATAATTGCAAGAGTAAGATTTTCGACGAACTCCGAAATGTCGAAGCAAGGTATGTCTGGAATTAGCCAAACTCATTAATGTCAGCGTCCCAGATTATGTGGCGGTTTAAATTAATTCGAGTATGTGGGACATCCAAAGTACGTATCGAGAAGATATTCGAAAGCGGACTAACAGAAGAGGAAGTCCGATTACTCTATCTTTTGAAGTTACTTGACCCACTTCGATATTACTCGCTGATTGATCCTTTCCACCGACAACATATTCGAAAAATTGTTATTTAATAGCGAAATATCGAAGAGTAGTTGAATATTCCACGTTACGTGCCGTTCGATAAGGAAAGTAAGAGAAATAGAATTTCTGGACTATCTTCGAGTTTCCTGCATCGTGAATGCCTCACGTTCTGGGATAAATTTTAAGACATGCACAGAGTGTCCCACATAACGCGGTTGAAGGATAGATCGCGTTTAAAATATTTCGAGGAATTTTCAAACTCGAATATCTCGAATATAGTAAAAAGATTTTACTGTACATTTCGAATTTATTACCAAAAGAAATCGTACCGCCATCACTGTGCAAAGAACGTAGTAAAATGTGGACGTACCTTACCGACAATTTTTCTTCGTGAATTCGTCGAATTTATGGAACGACTTGATTTATCAGGAAACGAGCAACCGCGGACAGTAACTAACACCTCCCATGATCGAGGATTAATTTATTGGAAATTTGTCTTGCTCAGCAACACAATTTCTCTTGTCGTTGAAAAATCGTCTTCGTCCTCGGCAACATTCCACGCTAATACTTGATCGTGTAGCTATCCATTTTTATCTTCCAGAGAACACGAAACTCTGGAGCACAGTATTTTTTTAATTCCACCCTTTGAGACTTCGTTCCGATGATCTAATCCTCATTTTTAACTCCTCTCCCTCGCTTTACTCTGTTCCAACCTCGATTTTTCTACGGTAGATTCGTTTCTCATCCTCCCTTGAATATTTTATTGTATTATTCTCTTGTCTCGCGTGTGGCAATATTTTTATTCCCTTTAATATGCATTTTCCGACCGCGTATCGTTTTTCTTGCCCGATCAAGCGCGCTCTATTCTACTGTACTGGGTCTGACGCAATACGTCGTGTACTACTGGCAACCGGTTAACGCGTTACCTGTCACGGTGTAAATAGCCGTGCGTTGTATGGAACATTAAATTTCGAATAAATTGACCAGCTCGTTATCGGTTAACGCGACGATGGACATCTCGGCCTTATGTGTCTATTAAGACGATAAATAATCGCGATATTTCTCGGAAGAATATCGTAATAAATTCTTGCTTATATCGATTCAGCTGGAACCTTACGATCTTACCTTTTACATCCTCCATTAATGAATTATTTATCGTGGTAGCTGCTGTAACTGTCGGCATAAAATTCGCGGATCTAAAAGAACAACTACCTTTTTATTCATTAGATTGTTGCTCGTAATATTTTATACGATTTAAAGGAGCAAGGTATTATAAGTCTCTGGCTAAATATCAGGTAGGTTTTGTTTGTATAAACAACTCGGTACAGCTAGGTAAGAGTATTTTTATCTTCATACTTTATTGCGTTTACTTCCGAACCAGAGGAACGTCGGGTAAATAGATAAGCAAATATCTGTACCGTAAAAGATACAGAGACGTTCTCTTGTTTCAGAGCTTGTTCGCGAGCGTCGTTTAAAGTATTCCCTAGCGTGTATCGATAGTACTTCTGTTGTACACATCAGTGCACGTTTCGAGATACGCACAACATCGAGTATCCGTGTTTCTGTTCAGATGTGATCAATATTGGGTTGTTAGAGAGCAAAACCATCGATGTATCTTTCTTGTTAGCCGTTGTAGTCGAAGAATACAAGGGATCTGACGGATTGGAGTCCACTTTCTTCACCGAAATCAGCAGCGATTCGAAGCAATAGATTGATGGAAAGAAGTTTTCGATGAGAGGGGTCGTAAAAGTGTGGATAAACGAATGAAAGGGTTAGATAAAAGCGGGTCGGTGTAGGTAGATCGAGATAACGAAGGGTCCCGAGAGGGATGATCGATACTTGGTAAAAGAATCGATCGACCCAGTTTCGCGACACGATATCATCCAGAGCGTCAAATTTATTTTTCACCTCCCACATTAACGCAAATTTCGCCTTAATTACTAAACAATGTGTGCGCACCCGCCTACGTTATTTCGAATATTTTCGATGCTGCGTATGTGACCCGATTTTCGGTTCTCGACAAAAATGCTTTTGTTCTTTCCTCCGCTCGTGGCCACATGTGCCCGCATTTTATTTCACTTACACGAGCGTTACAATCGAATTGCGAGTTACAATCCTTTCGTCGTATTCCTCTCTCGAATGCTCGTTTAAATCTTACAATATTTTGTGCTGGTTTAATGAAACGTCGCTTTAAGAAATTACCGTTGAATTGTTCGGTAGGATACGATAAGTTATTTTGAGGGTAATTGAAAAATATGCAAAACGACTTTTGGTTGCAGGTGCGTTCGAGGTCGTTGACCCAGCTGGACGCTCTGGGCAGCAGCATGCTGGACACGGGGGAGCACCATCTGGGGGGTGGTCCCTCGCAACAGCAATCCCATCACCTTCACCACCACTATCAACCTCAACAATTGCAGCACCACCCCCAAAACGTCGAAAGTAATCCTCGTTTTCTTGTGCCTACCGCGTCCGTCGAGGCCGGCCACCAGAATCGCTCCAGGCATAAACTGTCTCGATCGCAGGTTAGTAAAAATTTCATTTATCGAGCGTGCAAGGTGTTACTTTTGTAAATAACGTCGCCCAAGTGGCTTCTTACCTATTTAAAGAGACAGATCCCCGCTTCAGAATTGCTTTTTCAATGGACTCTACGTTCGATATTACCTCCGTAAATAAGACCGGAGCTTTAAAGCGTCGCTGTACAGTGTACAAACATATCCACTTAAAGTACAAAGAAAAGAAGCTACATCCCTCTGACGACTCTCACCCTCGATTTGAAACACACACCCTACTGTCGCTCGTTCGTTAATCCTCAAACGCCGCACACTCGCAAACTACGACCACATTATCTTATAGACAAAACCAAGGTCTACCGTACGCTATATCGCAATTTACAACGGCACGATATAAAGTTGGTCCCCCGCCAACTGGAGAATTATTAAAGCGCAAAGGGATATACCTGGTGGAAGTGGAACAAGTAAGGAGTGGCGGTAAAACGATTGACCGATTTCAGGCAATGACACAGCCGATTCGACTCCATCAACTGGCAATTTCCTATGATTGGGCCCCATTATCGTTCCCACGAACGATAGTATCCGGTCGATTCAAACCGTCAAGCATGGAATTTTGAAAAGAACTTTGATTGAACGTAACGGTCGCGTTTGTAGCATTATCACGAACGCGTATTTATTTTTATGGACGAGCCGAAATTACCGTAGCCCTCCCTGCGGGATCAGCGAAACGTCCTTTTGGCCCTGGCTCGAATCGATATCGCGCGAACGGGCCGCCGCTGCCTAGCGCGATTATCGATTCGCTGGATTTAAGTTTCGGACGTGCCCAAGGACAAGCACCTGGGCAAACTTGTCCGCGAAAAAGTTCGCCGATCAGGGACGCGAAAAAAAGATTTCGTAAACGACGCTTTCAAACATCTTGTCTCTGGAGGTATCACGCGCGGTAACGATACCGGCCAGATCGAATTCAATAACGAAGTTTCTTTTTTGCCCACACTCCCCCAGAAAGTTTGCAACGGCATGAAAAATGTACGTACCTCGAGAAATTTCGAAGACTCTAGTGATATTTGTGCAGAATTCGCGGTACGAGAGGCTCGTGGGGAAAGTTTGTTTAAAGTGGAAACAATTTGTCCTTGCAATGAATCGAACACGAGTTTATCGGATTATTTTCGTGGTAGTTCCTCGTGCATAAATTTTCGAACATTTTCGAGTGCTTTCGAAAGGTTTCCCGATCAAATAGTAGCGGGAAAACTTGACGTTGTTTGCGAATTAAATTTATTATACCTGTTTGTTCTACTTGTCTGACCAAGCGCGGATCTGTTCTACTTGAATGGCTCTTTGCGGCCTCATTCTACTTGTCTGCCCATAAATACCGAATTTCACTGGCAAAATGAGAATTGTTCGCTGCATTAATCGCGCAACAAGAGAGCCATGCATTTTCAGCAAGATAATTCCTTGTATACCGCGCGAATCATAAAACCGTAATGTGGTTTCAATCATTCTGCCGTGTAAAGGTTAAATAATCCAATAATAAAGTTATTACCGTTCCGCGTACGAATTTATGAAGTTTCAAGAATTCGCGAAACGATAGAAACTAGTCCGAATTGAAATCGAACAAATTGCAAAATGCACCCTCAAAGAGTCGTTAATTACGAAATGGTTTGATACGATAAAACATTCTATCGATTTACTCTCAAATTCCGGTATCGTGTATCGAGGTAACCTAACCCCGTGCCAACCCCAAAATGTCTAAACTCGAAAATGCACGTTTCAGGTATCGAGTAGCGAGTATTTCAGCGTCAGCTTCGACTTGGCCGACGATGCGACTACCTTGGATCGTGACGAGTTTCTGCCAGCTACGAAAGGCACTTACTTGGCGTAAGTTGCTTTACGTCACCGGTTATAGCATAAACGACTCCGCTTCAATGATTAACATCCGTTTAAACGATTATCGCTGTGGACGTTGGTCGAGCCAGAACGGAAGACCGGCGTTCGCTTCGGCTGAAAATGCCGCGAACGACGCGTGTCACGCGCAAATGAAATTTCCAGCGATATACGGCCTCGTAAATAGCAACGACGAACGGTAATTTCGCGGAATTTCCAACTCAGGGGTAGATGAAATGGGAGAATTCAGCGGTGGCCTTGAAACGAGACCACGAGTCAGAACGAACGACTCGAGAACTGACCTCGTAACGTTGATTATTAATCGTCGGTGAATAATGAATTATACTCGCGGGGGTGATTCGAACTTTCCCCTATAATCTTGTCGAACCTACTTGCACTTCGTAACACGACGTATCGCGTTCGAAACTTTTACCTACTTTCGAGTTTCATCAGAGGTTAACGCGTTTCGTTCGCTGTCTGTAATTAGAGTGCAGGTCCAGTTTAAAATCGATGAAATATTCATTACAGGGAGGCGTTGAACACCGTTTGCGAGAGACGAGGTATCGATCTGTCACGGATCGAAGTTTTCGACGGTTTTTCGCCGCCATTGCCGATCCTGACAACGGACACCTCGAGCCTTGGTGGCAAACACTTGCGAATAACAGGTAACAATCTCTTAAACTACCCCTTATCGTCCACGTCATTTGCGTCCTCGAGCTTTCAAAATTACGCGATAAGAAAAAAAGCTGCCCCGGCGATAAAAGATTACTTATTATCGCTGAACTTCTCTCTCGTTAACCCCATAATGGATTCAACGATTCTTCGCTGACAACCTTCGACAAAGTTAGGCGGCAACGTTTACCAGCCACGTCACGAGTGGCGTGAACGTGACACGAACTGCCTACCCCATAATTCATGCAAAACTGATAATAGATACGATCGTGACGTTGCTTCCAAGCAACACCGGCGTAATTGACGGCACGGCATGATGGAATCGATGTATTAACCCTATCTCGTCAAGTACCACGTCAGAAATCATACTGAAAAGCGTTCTCGATCGCGATAAAACGTGGAATCGATCTCCTCGCTTAACGTGGAACGATCACTGGGTATTAAGGACTGCAGTCGTCGGATAGCGTTTACTTCTCGAGATACCAGAAACTTTCGAAAGAGGATGCATAATGGACTTTTATTTGAAATAAAATTAAGAAAATCTTAAATATTCGGTATAATAGCGATAATAGCCCGATTATCGACCACAAAACCATTCTCCTTTTTAAGATCTAGACGATAATCCCAGCACCAATGATTGCCCCATAAATGGCCAATGTTATCGTCGTTTAAACGCCAACGCGAGTAGTAAAAAAGGTTCAGATAAAGCTCTACACGAATAGCACCCTCCGCTGGGGTACGAACGCGCATGACGAATAATTCAATCGTCTTGTTATGAGCACGATTCAGAGTTTACTGCCAGGCCACAGATTAACGTCGGGATAAGAAAATTGAAGTTGATACGTGAACGGAAACGTGTCTGCCCAATTTTGATCGATACCACTGGCGAGTAGTAGAACAGACGGATAACAACAGCCTAAAGGCGATAAACGCGAACGCAACTTGTTGGAACGATAAACTCATTGTTCATGGCTGAACGAACCTTTGGTCGGAACTCAGACTATATGTCCGAATATAATCGGGTTGTACTACTTAGAACCTGCGACAAAATCCCCTGTTGTCAGATCTGGTCGTTGATGAATTAAATATGTCACGGTGGCAAATTCGCGCTTAGAAACTCGGTAGATTATTTCGTGAAATACTGCGTCTACATGTATTTTATATTCGTAATCTGACCAGAGTTGGAACGTTGACAAACTCTCTCCAGCAAAACTTTCTTACGAAAAAAGTAAACCGAAGTGGATTTCGAGTTTAAAAATGGCGTCGCCACTTTGGCCGAGTATAAATCGGGATATACTACTGAAAGTTCACACTGGATTTATTCGTAGCCGAAGTCCACTCGGAAGTTGGTACGCTGGTACATTCGAACGAGTATAAAAGTCTAAAAGTATAAAAATGATATACCCGATAGTTATTCTCCCATAAAAATGAACTAACAAATCGAGCGTAGCGTAAACTGCTTTCGAGTTTTGCGACGTGAAGGAAGAGCGGAGAAACTATTCGGTCGTGTCAAGCTGACCTTACGAAGGTCTGAAAATATTTTTACATCGCTAAAGTCACGACCTTAACGCGAGAAATATTGCGTCTGTGACGTAAAACATTTTAATGCGTGAACAAAAGAGGGTCACGCAATTGCTCCGACCGTCGCCACAGATGATTATCGTTTTTAATGGTTACGTTTCTTTTGCGTTAGGTCAGAACGTTTTCCATTTAAAACGCGAAAAAACGGAACGTACGATCAGATATAGACGCGAAGAAAGAGAGGAGCTTTAACTACGAGTTTGCCTCTCTGTCCTACCTGCCACGCGAAACTGTCACAAATATCGATAACGCGTTGTTTTTCGCTGCGAACGAACTTTGTCACCGTCATAAACAACCGTGCCTGGTTTATCAATCACGAATATCAATCGCGACGTTTACCATTTCAGTCTATTTCTGCCGTTGTGACAGCTGTAATGTCGCGACATTGATCGAACAGCTCTATCGATAACCCTTGCCCTCAAATATGTATGACTCTTGCACTACCAATTTTACAAAAACTCGTATGCAAATCCGTCGAACGGTCGCCACGTGTTCCATCCGTGCTTCCTTCAAAGTTACTTTCGATTGAATCTACGAAACCGGAAGCGGTGTTCAGGTAGACAGATGACGAAGGAGAAACAACGTTTGCCTAAGTTCTTCCCCGTGGTGACCCAGCGATTTTTTTCTGTTTCAGTGAAGGACAATGACAAATCGAACTCGAGGTCGACGAGTCAGAGGGCTAATCAAAGCTCTTCGCTGAGGAAAACAAGCGGGGTAAGACGGGAACCGAGGAAATAAATGTTCGTTGTATCGTAACGAGAGAACAATTTCATCCGTTTAATGGAACCTTGAACACCTGAGAGCATCTTCCATCTACGAAAAAGGCGAATCGATTGTTAGGGCGGTAACCTTCGCGTTCCATCACCTCAGAGGGAGCCCTTCTTTGTTTTCTCCCTCGTTCCGTTTCAATTAGAGCCGGATCTTTATGTGCCGTTTTAATTAACACGGATTAATTAACGTGGAATATTAGACAGAAATTGCTCGCATGAATAGAATTGTTTGCCGGCTGGTTCGACTCTGTAATCATCATCGGAAACGCATTTTCCAAAATGCTTCATCTGCGTGATTCGTTGCCGACGTTTCCTCTCAATTTTCGATCAATTTATTCTGCCGAGAGTAAACTTCCATTATTTATGGCCAGAACTGTTCGAACGCAATTGTAAACCTGCGAATCATGAAAGCTATTAATTTAAGGAAACTATTGTGTCGAATCATAGCATATTGAATCGTCGATTCCGATGCAAAAAGGAATAGTGTATCAATTTGAAGCTTCGATTTTATGTCCTTCGTTTTAATGGAGCTGCGACCCTTAGCCATAACTAAATCGAAGACAAAGTGCAAAACGATCCGTCAGGTGCAAACAATGCCACGGGGGCGTCGATCGATACTAATCCTCCCATTACACTGGCATCCGGATTCTAATGAGTTGCCAGGGAACGTGGTGAAAATGAGAAACGCGATTCCATCGTCATCAATTTTCGGCTGTGGCTCATCGCGCTCGAATTCCGTCGATTTTACGACCATTAAAATGAACGTCGGTGAATTGCGATCGCGATTCACTTCGAGAATCCGGAAAATAAACGTCGTGTCTTCTTCGCACTTCCAGTTCGGTATTACAAATCGGTATATTATACGATCGAGCGAGTCTCTTTTATAATCGTACATAAATTCTTCGTTGAAAGTTTTACAAATTCTTCGCAATAAAACGTGACAAAAATTCCGCAGAGTTATCGATGTCGAAGTGGTCGCTTCTTCAGCGTGTCCACGGAAGACTCGAGCGTCGACTCCGAGATCAGCAGCAGCACCACGCTAACATCCGGTCGGAGTTCCGCTGGGGCTGCGGGACTCAAGACCAGCAAACAGCGATGGAGCGGTTTTTTTACCAACACGAAGGGTACCAAGTTGGATCTCCTGACTGCCCAACTGGACGAATACAATAAACACGGTGTACCAAAACTCACGGACATTCAACTGCCCTATGAACTTACCCTTAACGAAGATGGTTGGTACTTGAAAATCGTTGATAAAAATAAATCGAGTATGTTCAATAAATTATGTCGCTTTATGAAACTCTTAAATGTACATGTATTTATAACGCTAGTTTATCACCGGTAACGTTGTGCATTACGTTGTATAATAAGTAGAAAATATTTATACAGTCTCCGCTTCTGAATTGACTTTACATAGACACCGTCGATGATAGTCCGTGATCCTGAAACGTTCCTGCCTGAAAAGAAACAGAGAGAAATGTTAATGTTCTTCGTCTAAAAAATTATTGTACATTTTGCAGCCTTGTATAACTTAGAGGATGACTGGCGAGTGATTGTACACAATTCAGACCAATTGTCAGAGAAACAACAGCAGCAACAGACCGCTTTGTGGGAGCTGGCTCAAACGGAAGTAGCTTATATCAAGACATTGAAAGTCGTAACAGACGTAAGTTTAACGAGTTCATCCGATAAAAGGTTGGTAGATAATTATTCTTAACGTTGCAGCTCTTCATGGCGTGTCTGTGTAGCCTGCAGACCTCGAATATCCTGAACGAGGTCGACAGGACCAAGCTGTTCAGCAATATACCCGAAATCTACGCCGCTAATCGCTATTTTTGGACAGAATATGTATTAGCAATGGTGAACACTTCGAGGACCACGGGACAGCCACTCGATCCTGGTCATCTTCTGCAAGGTTTCGAGACGTTCGAGCAAACGTTCGCACCGTACACGCGATATTGTGCCGAACAGAGCAGGTGCCAGCAGTATTGCAGGGACCGTTTGAACGATAATCAGTTGTTCACGGTCTATCTTGTGGTAAGAGTGAAATCGTCATTAATCATTGCAGTGAATGGTAGCTAACACGTTTTTACATTTGCCAGTGGTGCGAGACTCAGAAGGACTGCAATCGATTGAAACTTCTTGACATACTGGTGAAACCTATGCAGAGGTTGACCAAGTACTCGCTGCTCCTAAAGGCGGTTCACAAGAACACCGAGAACGAAGATCAGCGAACGGAGTTGACGCATATGGTAATTTACAACCAAATTATTAACCCTATCAAGCGTAATCATTTATTTATTGGTCGCAGATCAAATCTGTGGACGATTTCGTGGCATCGGTGAACGCCGCTTTGAGGAGGAACGAAGAGACAGCACGACTAGCCGCTGCTGCCTCTCGCATCGAGAGCTATGACGTGGTGGAGTCCAGAGACGAAGAACTGGAGAAATTGATTAAAACACACAGCACGTTCGACATCACCACCGCACCGATTCCCGGTTGCCCGAAGGACACGTTGAGAGTGCTTCTTCGTGAAGGAGACTTGAAACTGAGAGACGCTGCTAGCAGTAAGGTAATCGTTCTTCACCTACGCGAGTGGAACGAAGTTGATTTTCATTGATAGAAATAACTCAGACGTTAATTCAGGACGAATTTCTGAAACGATGAATTTTCTAGATGGAAGTGCATGTGCTGTTGTTGACGGACATGCTATTGATCTGCAAGCCGTCGACCAAGAAAACCTCGTCTAGTGGGCTAAGTGGAACGGCCGGTGGCTGTTTAAAGATCATAAGACAACCATACGTGATCGATCGCATCCGGATATACGAGTTAAAAGAACCAACCAGCTTAGGATTGGTTTACTTGAACGAATATGGAGCAGCATCGGCTGCTCTGGTTCTCAGTGCCGGAGAATCAAAACTGGCCAAGGTACGCCTCACTCATTCGATGTCTCAAACCCTGCATAAAACGCTGCCTTCCTATTTCAGTCTTGGATGGAATCCATAAGAAAGGCTCAACAACAATTCGCGTTAATGAAAGTACCACCGCTCGGAGGTACTATAAGTTTGGGAACGGTCAGTCGACAGCCCAGCACTTTCCTCGGAGACGTTGATTTTGAAGGCGAAGAGTGCGAGGGTATTCTGAAAACACCTCGGGGAAGCAGCAGAGCGTCCAGAGTAAGCAGTCTTGCCCACAGTCACAGGTAAGTTATCTGATCTTCTAAGCAGAAGCTCCGAATAAGAAGAAGAGTAACAACGACATGATAAATTCACGAAACCTGATCAAAGTCGCGAAACTGTTTCCAGTGGAAGCATAGAAATGGAGGGTGTGTCCCCGGGTAGCAGTAACTTCTTACCCAGCTACAATCCGAGCAGGAACGTCAGCGTTGAAACTAGCGAACCACCGCGAGCCTCCAGTGTGTCGTCCGAGGAAGGAGGTGAGAGTTCCGGACACAATCACAGACCCTTGCAAATAAGGTAATTAAACGCGGACTGATCGAAGAGAATTCACTGAATACACAGTATGGAAAGAAAGTGCAATTTGACCAACAGTTGACCATTATTCTAGTCCTAACAAATTTGATAATAGACGATATCTGCTGAGTAAGTCACCGACGCCCAACACGCTGAGCGTTCAAGTGCCAGCCTACTCTAGTTTGGGCCAATCGCTGCCAAACTTGACCCTAGCCACCTCGCCACAAACATCGACCGTGTCTCCGACACCGCCAAACTCACTTCTTATCGTACCCCAAATAACAAAGAGCAAGGACACTTTGCTTTCACCAGGGCACCGAGGTAGCAATTACCCACGCGGGAATAATTATTTTTTCCTCTTTCTTCCACCCTTTTACCCCACTAGAGGCTTGTTCCAAACACTGGCAAACGTGGCACATGCATGCTTGAAGTTGTAGTACTCGAACAATACAAGATTAAATCAAAACTGACCCGATACCGAATCTGCTTTTGAAAATACTACTGGAAATTTATCCGAAACCGTTGCATGAATATAACATAAGTTACGATAATATTATTTGGAAAGATGAAAGTAAGCCATGTTAACCGAATTTATATTGTCAGGTATCTCGTATCCACCACCGTCGCCTCCGAGAGGTGCTCTCCGAAGAGCATTCGCGATTCCGCAGTCGCGAAACCCACCTCTCGTTAAAACCAGACACATAAGCACCTCTATGACCCAAACGGTTCAGCCTACGATGAACCTAGATACGGAAGCTATCGAGGAGAGACGAAGAAGGCTGGAACCTTCGCACAGGATGCCATCGACGAGCAGCATCGCGGAGGAAAAGGTTCACGGTTTGACTCGATCTAACACTTTCACCGTTTTAAGCCTTCGAAAGATCTGAACAAACTCTGGAATACCTGCACCCACCGAGTTCAAATTAATTTCAGCTTTCCTGCTTACAGTAGGAAAATCCTACTACTTGTTACGCCCGTTATTGAAGCGCTCTCTGCTGGTCTCTTGAATATTCAAATAGCACGAATCTCACTTACTGCCTAGAGGCTCGTTAATGACGAAATAGAGCCAGCTGAAAATCAATATCTACAAGACCTACAATATATATATATTTCTTCTCTTTCCTCGTTCTTTACAAATCAAGAATATATCCGAAATTTCTGCACAGTCGTAATTCGACAATCTTTTTGTATTAACTCGATGCTGTTTTTTCAGAAATGACAAGAACTGGGATACAAGAGTAACCTACCAAGAAGGTAAATTGCTAACGGACCATCTGCTAATTTGATGAGGGTGTACGTGATACGTCGTGCTTAGAAACAAGATGTTGCTTTCTGCTGTCTGTATGCAAGTGCTGCACACACTTTCATGCAGAATCAGAAAATGGGTTCAAACGATCGGGAATGAATTCAATTTTGAATTAGACGAACGTTTCGTACTCCCTTGTGCCTACGATATGAATCGAGCAATTTTACAATCGGTGAGTAAACTAACCACTCTATTCAATCTGTTGCTGATTCATGCAAAACGAATGAATACGTAATTTGTTTCAGATTGGGGCCATTCGAAATCAACGCGAAGTTTGTACCACGACCGTATCATTGTAACTTATTTGATTCTAGCCGTGTAACTTCTTAGGTCTCATTTTGTAAATTAATCAAAAGGTGGATTGGGTTGAAAGCGACCCCACGTTTCACGATGTTACCCTAGTTCATTTAGAATTTTAAGCGACGAACAGGACAGAATAATAAAAAAGGCCTACTTAGAGTAATTAATCTTACGAGACTATTTATCGTGATTTTAAGTTTAGACGACTTATTAATGCTAGCTGAATTTAAGACGCCTCTAGTGAATAATTTTAACACTTAACAAGAGTTCAAGTTCACGATTTAACGAATATTCAAAGTTAAAAAACCAACGCGAACAAGTTTAGAGGATACACGAGCGTAGAGAATAAAAAAATTACACTTTACGTAGTTGATACGATTGCGCTAATTCCTCGTACAACAGGCTTCGGTATATAAAAAGGAAAGAAGACTCGGAAGAATATGGGAAGCATTGGAAAGCGAGCGAGAGAACAAGAGGACAGAGAGACACGTTTACTTTAAGTACAAATTCGATTTCGCAATATTTTGTTCAAGAGACTGAACTAAAAAGGAATCGGGGCTGTCGACGAACGTCACCCTAACTAGAGACAACAATACGTAGAGAGGAAACAAGAGCAATGATTTTATACGAGCTCCTTATGTAAGGTTTCTTTCGATCCCTTCAAATTTGCGCAGCTTGCATTAAGCTTAAAGGAAAAAAGGTGTTAAATTATTATATGAAGAGTAATCGATTGTGCGTGTATGTACGATCGCTCGCGATCAAAGTCAAAATATAGTACATAATTTATTAATCGATTGTCTTGTTCAATACTTAACCGGATTCCTCGTTCCTGAACAATGAACGTCGAGTTGAACATTTCTTAAGATATTTACAGAGTTTTATTAAACATTTCATAATACAATTTGAAAATTTCATACTAGTTTCAGAGTGCGAAATAAATTAAACAATTTAAAGACTCCCATATAAACTCTCTCTATTACTCGATAACAATTTAAAAATCAATATAAAACAAATATTCAAAAGGAAATTAACAGTTATTTACATGCGCGTACGGTGTTTTAGATTTTTTAAACGCTTGTCTACTATGTAACCATAGCCTAGGAGGTAAAACATGTTGAAAGTTGTCAGAATGCTACATTGCAAACTTACTTGCACACTCGCAGGTCGACGGTGCGAGGCAGGAATCCGTCAGCAATCGTTTGTCATATCTTGACACGTTCGTGCCTCGCTACGTTCATCTGCCAATGCTTCCAAAATTTCCAACAAAAGTTCTCGACTTAATTGTTTCAGTCTAGGAAGCCTTGCAACCTGTAATCAAATAAAATTGTGTTCGCGACAAAAGAAACGCTCATATTTCTATAATATAAAAGAAACTGTACCTTCGTAAAATGGTGTACGATAAGATTCAAGGCATACTTCTTCATGTCAGCAGCTTGCATTCTATCTGCAGCTTCTAAGATTTGTATCACGTTTTCGAATGTTACGTTCATTTCAAGATTTTGCTTACAAAATGCTTGCAATCGATTGTTCGTGAAACCATAAAACCCTGGCGCGGTGAACAAATATAAAGAGTCTTCGGGAGGCATCGAAACATCTGCGTAGTAAATGTACCTTAACAAAGAATCGAACGACTCAGAAGATGGAATCATTTCTCCGATTTGTATCTGTAAGAAACGCACTTTTTATTACGATATATTTAATTACTTAATACGAAGAAGTATATAGCAATGATGTACTCACATTGACTATATTATTTTCTGGCATGAACGAACGGAACATCCCTTCGAAATAACTACAGCGTGCTGCAAGGATCGCTTTGTGAGCTGGAATTGGTACGCCATCTAACATTAAGGTTATATCACAGAATTGCCGACCTACTCTTTTCAAAAATGCCTCCATATCTTGTTCCAATGTTGTCCCTAAAATAAAACTCAAACTGAAATAAACGTTTGATCTAGTGTTAACTTTTTATAATTTTCTTTTTATTCGCACCTGTGCTAAGGTCACATTTTCTAGGAAAAGCTTCGCTAAAAGGCGTTTGTCTTTTTCTAACAATTTCAACCATCAAAGGTTGATCCAGTGTCTCAAATTCTTTGCTCATGACAATTTGATGGTAATTACCCTCTTTGACCACAAAACTTAAACAAAACTCTTTTATGAAATACAGTTTCAAATGAGCAGCATTGTGTAATGCTTCTAATACGTTGGCATGACTGATGGTTGCTTTCAAATATTGAACACATAGCTGTTCCAATTGCTTCATATTGAATTGTAGAGCTAAACGATACACATCCATCATAAGAAGCACGATTCGATTGCTCAATGGATCTTCGACGCTTTTGCTCGAACCATCCGTGCTTCTTTTCGTTGGATCGATTCGATCAGTGTATATGTAATTCAATACCATTTCGAAAGCTTCCGGTACAGCGTCTGTTAGCCTTACCTATAATAGCATAATATCAATTGAAGATATTCGTTGTTAATCGTCACAATTCATTTACCTCTAATAACGGCAAATCTTTTATTGGTACATCTACAGTACCAAACACTTCCTCCAAATGTTTATCTCGCTTCTCCCGCTCTTGCCTGATAAGAGCTCTAAGGAACTGAGAACGTGCTGCTACCATTACTATATGGGCTGGTATTTTTGTTTCCGAATCACCTACCACAAATTCGACGTCGCAAAAAAGGCGACTGTTTAATAACCTTCCGAAATCATCATGCAAAGTGCACTTTGGGTAGGATGAAAATTGAAATCGATATGTTTCTCCAGATCGAACGTTATTATCGACTGTTCCGCCAAAAATGAACATTGCCTCTCCAATTACGGCTGCCGCATGGAACAATCGACCAGATGGAACCTAGAAACAGGAGAGCAAATTAAGAACTGACGGCTCGGATTTTATTACTTTTATATCTATACCTGACTGTCAGCTGATGGTAAAATGATATTCCACGTTTGGGTATCAAGATCATAGCAGTGCAGATCGTTAGTCAAGGTAGAATCAGCAGCACCGCCAAATACATAAAGATGCCTATCAAAACTGACCATGGTGTGACCGTATCGACGCGCTGGTGGTGGCGGTGCACCGCGGAGAATATGTTCGGTTGAAATTCGCGTCCACCTAATGATTTATATTTTAAAAAACATGGTACTACTTCAAATTATAAATGATGGATTTACCGTTTCTCTCGAAAATGAAACTGAAAGAGACTATTGGTGATCTTTGCTCCACTCTGACCGCTAAATACAAACATCGATTCACGTGCTACGGCAACGGGAAAATTGCAACATGTTGGTGGACAGTCACCAGACTGTGCAACTTCCTCCCATACCCTGGGTTCTCCAGGCTAAAAAGTTTAGAAATAAATTAATATATTCATATGTACTTCATACTCTGAATATTGTGGGCCAACTTACTAATAATGATATTGTCCACATATCATTTAGTCTAGCATTACCATCATACCCTGCAAATATCCATAACTTATTGTCATACACAGCAGCTCCATGTGCAGATCTAGCAACTGGAGTTCTACAAAGAAATGTATCATTAATATTACATATAAGTTCCTGGTTTGTAGAAAATCAAAAGTGATATTAAGTTAATAAAATCAAGTCAAACATACTTCCCGATAAATTTCCATTCTGTCCACTGGGCAGTATGAAATCGATATTCAAATAAATCATTCTTATTGGTGAGATTTGAATTGGAATGTATGTCACCAGTATAACCACCAAATACAAACATAGAAGAATCATGCACAACTGCTGAATGATGATAGCGTGGAGCAGGAGCTGCTCCTGTTGCAAATGCACGTCCCCAGGACTTTTCTTTCACATCAAATCGTAACAAATCATTCAACATTCTTTTACCATTATCACCACCAAAAACATATATCGCATCTTTGTATGCTACAATAGTGTGTTTGCTACGCCTGTGTATAATACAATATAGTGAACTTTGGAGTAATGCATTTACAAAGCTTTTTCTAATTATCATACATGATGCAAGGAAATAAAGAATAAAATAACATGTTTGATAAATTATTGCTTAGATTTGAAGTAATTAAAAAATTTTCTAAATTTTTTACTAACATTTATTTACAGTTCTTGATTAACAATCATAAATAAAGTATCTTTAAGAAGTTATAGAACAAATGAAGAAACTGGTAAATGCTGCATACAATTGATACACTGATGCACAATTATTGGAATTAAAATATGCTGTAACAAAATAATTGATTGCACCAATAACAACGTAAAAAATGAGAAGAAGATCAAATTAATCTGTCATAATTGAAAATAGTATTTCAAACGATAAAACGATTTAAAACGAATTACCTGTCGCCAACAAATTCGTCGCATTCTGGCAGACGCTGCCAACGATGAACCGTTTCAAAAGGTCCGAAATCAAGAGTCAAACACTCTGCAGTTGCAACATTATCCATTTTTGCTTATTCCAAAGAAATGCAGTTACTTTAGAAGATTCATGCTTAACCTATATTTTACTGACCGAATCAGTTCTCATTTTTTTTCAATTCAAAACCTTCATTATACAGAAATAAATCTGTAAACGTTTCTGAACGTAGATATCAACGATACCTTATTAAAATATAAGAGAAATTCTGCTTATATGATTCGAAAGTTAGACAAGCTTCTGTCTATTGAACTGTCAAAACCGTATGGTTATATCGATCGGATGGAGTACAGTCGAGGTTACAATAGGATACAGTAAGTTCATACAATTATTTATTTTACATAATTTACACTATTAACATATAAAGTTATGTTAACAATAACATTTTCTTAAATTGTATTCGAATAAAACATGCGTACAATAAGTTCATTTTAAACTATACATATCACAAGATAGTTGGTTCTATTCCCAACTTTTATCTTATCAGTGGTACCAAGTTGACGAACGAAGAACTGTTGGTATTTTGGACAGTGTATTTTATTGTGTACCGTTACAAATTCACGCGAATGCAAATACTTTCGTAAATGTGCTTCATGAGTCTGATAATTAGTGTGCATACTGTTTAAACGATGTAAAGTATATGTATATCATGCGGCTAAGTAATAACCCGTAAGCAACGTGCTAACGCGCGGAATCGGCACTGAGAAAGTCGCTTACTAATTTCAGTCTTTCTCTAAACAAAATAATTGATGAGAAGAATGGCTCGAAATGTATTTCAAAACGGTAAAAAAATGTTTTGGATCGGTTGCGCGTGTATTGGTTCTTACATCGCATATCGATATTGGAAAAAACGAGAGCTTCTGACAATAGATGAAGGTTTCGAAGATGTGTCAAAGGTTAGCATTTCGATTCTATCTGAAACGGCTTTCGATTATTTGCGAGAATGAATTATAAATGGTTTAGTTTCGTTCGTATCCCCGTATTGAACATAAATTCTGGTAGCAGTTATTATTACTTTTGTAGGCTGATGATAGTCGCGAAAAAAGGATACTTCTATTGGGTTTAGATGGAGCTGGAAAAACTTCAATTATAAATCAACTATGTGTCGCAAACGGTGATGAGAATTCTTACACTGTTCCTCCAAAGCCAACAGAAGGTTCCTCTGTATATAGAATAAAAAATGGATTGTATTCTTATAATGTATGGGACAGTATGTACATTTTAATATTTCTTGTTACACACTTCTTACAACGTGTACTCTGATGTTGTTAAATGTAATTTTATCATTAGTTGGAGGTGCAGATGCTACTAGAAAACATTGGACTGCCTTTTTACAAGACACAGACCTTTTGTTGTTTGTAGTAGATGCATCGGATGTAAACAAATTATCTTTGGCTGCTATTACTTTGAAGCAATTGTTAGGTGATGCAAGATTGGAAACTGTACCAATTTTAATAATTGCTAACAAACAGGTAAATGTAATCGAACAAAGTTATTATGCCATATTTCATACAATACCTAATATATTTATATATGAAATCAGGATTGTCCTAATGCACTGAAACTAGACGAAGTTAAAAAAGCTTTAGATTTATTAAGTATCTCCCCTCATAAACACAAAGTAGAAATAATTGGATGTCAAACAAGGCCTCTTCCTGAAATGCCAGCAGAAACAACTGAATATACTTGGCACCATGCATCCATGGATACTGTTAGAAAAAAGATATTCTCTATGGCTACGTAATTTTGTAATTATTTGTTTTGTTTGAAACAGTATGTATAAGCGAAAAAAGAAAAATAAGAAAATGAAAAAGAAATGCGAGGAGACAGTATGAATATTCAACATACTGTGCATACTTTCTTCATGAATTGAATTGAGGTGATTAAAAACAATTTGTTCAAATTGAACCTTTTTAAACAAAAGAATTAATGCTTTAAAAAATACATATAAAAACATACAATTTTTAAGTATTTCTCACTACATTTGCAATTGTTTAATTTCACTCTACTTTTTATACTAATTTCTGCAAAATACATATTTATTTAATAAATTATTTATTTGCTTTATAAGAACACAGTAAATATTTCTCATAATAATGCACAAAGTACATTACATTAATTTTTGTAATTGATATACAAATGAATAAAGATTCAGAAATTGCATCAATTAGCACAAATTTATTTTAACGGTTAATGTTACATGAATGATAAAAAAGTATTATCTATATGTTTTTCTTAATTTCTTGTACTTACCTAAACAATGATATTAGTTTATTTATTTTATATTTTAAATACTTTATATACAAATTTCAAAAATATATTCTTATTACATTCAACGGTAAACTAGTTGTTATTGTTTATCTTTGATTGAAGATATGCATTATATTGCTCAGGGATACCCTTAAACACTTTTATTTTAGCCCGTATTTGTTTCCACGTTAATTGATCATAATTCTTTTTATCTTGTGCCATTGCCTATGTAATTAATTTAATGATAAGAAATATTTTTGTCAATGTAAAATAAATTACTATTAAAACAAAATACTACCTTATAATCTTCCTCATACTTATCCATTAAGTAGGTAAGAAACTGTACTTGATTATTTGGTAACCTGAACACTCTTTTCCTTGGAGCTTTTGCCTCTGCTTCAAGTGCTTCTGCTACATGCACTTTTACTGGTGTCATTTCAACATCTTCATTTGTTGGTACATTCTCTATGTTATCAACAGTAAACTTTTCAACAAGTTGTTTTTTGTTACTAGCAATTTCTAATAATTCATTTGGGTCATACGCCAGTCCCATTTGATTCAAGTTAGTCCGCGTAGATTTAGTCACTTCCCATGAGTCTTTCAACTCTTTGCTACAAATGATTTCATTTTTATTCGCTGATACAAGTCGCTAATATAAAATTTTTGGTTATAATAATTACCATTTTATTGTCGGTAATTTTCTCAATTTATTTCGTAACCGTTTACGATTCACATTCATACGAAACTTCTTTCTACGTTTCACTTTCCTAATTTTCGTCATTGCGGCGGTTCCAGATTACCACGTGTTTTAATAAAAACAGTCTACAAACTTTCTTCAAACACTTTCGTATAACGTCAAAGCATTCTGCAGGTTATGCACCCAATATTTTATCCCTATATCTAAATGAACTCCTAGGGTTATATTATTTTTAACACACCATTATAGTGGTACAACTGCTAGCCTGTTCATTCAATTCAAATTCGATTTGTAAGTATGCATTTTTGTTTTGTTACAATTTAGAATTTAATATTTTTCATTTGCTATTGTAATGAATACTAGAGTTCGTTCTACGTAAAAATTTAACAGTATGACTTTGAATGTATTGCAGCAACCGGAAGTTCGACGAATGAATTTGTCGTAAAAAATTTCAATTACAATGTTTAAAGATCGATAAACGTTCGAACATGTCAGACCTAAATTATTCAATGAAAGTGAATGGACCACGAAATCGTACTGAATTTCCTACGAATCAAGTGTCAATCATGCATTGTATGCAAATTATCCTGGTGACCTTAAAATGGTAGTTCCTTACAATTAGTACATGCTCGAAAGTCTTTTCATAAAACATAATGAAGTTCAAGCACGTCAGCGAAGGCATTATACTCGCCACTGTGTCCGTTTGTTTCTATTGTTGTGTGCAACCTTTTGTTGTTACTATTTCACGAATCGCCTCAATATTTCTTATTCTTTCTTTTCAGAAATAGAATATAACAATTCATTCACGGAGTCAACAATTCAACGAGGAGTTATTCACGAATAACTTATACTAACATACTGCCATCTCTTTTATCGGAAGTAAGGGTAAAGAACAACAACCTTATTATCAATGTAAAAATTAAGATATATTTTTCAATACTTCAGGGTGGAAAATATTTTCTATTGCGGTGCATGTCGAAAATAAATCGGTGCGTATAATATAAATACAGTTCAACGTCGTGTATACTTATACGCAACATCTATATATCTACACTTACACGTACGCATCGTTTATACATGTACAAGTTGATTGTTTTATCTACACATTCTCGATCCAGTTCATTCTGTTAACCCTTTCATGCCCAAGGTAACATTATTTATATTCCCAGCGAAGTTCATCTTTGAACCACGTCAAAATTGAACTTCGTTAAAAAATTAAATCACGTAGAACCGGCCAAACTTTCAGAACCTGACTCGAGGAGCGCAAAGGTTTCGAAAAGCGAACGAGGGCAGATTGGAAAAACAGAAAGGGTAAACACTGTCCGGCGTAACACAAGTTTACCAGGAGTAGCTGGTGCCAAGACCGTTGAAGAAGGTGTGCGCAACAGGGGCAACAAGCTGAGCCTGAGGAGCGTACTCGTGAGAGAGCTTGGTAAGCTGTAGAGGAGCAGCATAGGTCTTGGTCAGAAGTGGAGCTGGTGCGATGGACGCGGCGTATCCGTGAGCAGCGTATCCGTGAGCGGCGTATCCGTGAGCGGGAGCAAGGTAGGCACTCTTTGCGACAACTGGAGCATGGGCAGCGTACTCGTAGGTCTTGGTCAGGAGCGGAGCCGATTCCACGTACGATTTAGCGAGGAGAGGAGTGGCGTACGATTTGGCTACGAGAGAAGGAGCGTAGGTCTTGGTCAGAAGAGGTGCGGCGACGGCAGCCTTGGCAAAGATCGGAGCTGGGGCAGCGTAGGTTTTAGCCAGAAGAGGAGAGCTGTAGCTGTATGGAGCGGCGTAACTCTTGGCCAGAAGAGGGGTACCGTAGCTGTACGGGGCAGCGTACGTCTTGGCGATCAAGGGGGCAGCTGGGGCGGCTGCGTATGCCGGGGCTGCGTATGCTGGGGCTGCGTATGCTGGGGCTGCGTATGCGGCTTTCACGACCGGAGTGTGCGGTATTTCGTAGTGGTACAGGCCATCGTTGCTGACGCTGTGACTGCTAACTCGTACGAATGAATGAGCCGAGTCGTCGGATTTCGTGTAAGAGGAAACTACGTTTTGACCAGCGTAGCCCTTCTGCGTAGACTCTTGGCTAAAGCCGACACTGCTGTGGTCGCCGGATGATGCGGAGATGTCGTAGGCTGCTGGCCCACCGGCGCTGGCTACTGCCACAAAGGCTGCGAGTACTAAAAACTGCAAGAAAGTCGATTAATTAATTTAGGCAATTTTTAGTTTGTTGAAACTTACTTTGGAATCTCAAGAAAAATTAATGCGGATAGAAGTAGTACAGTCTATACTTTACTTATTAACGTATTAAACTCTTGAGGACTTTTACGAGAAACTTTCAATGTTTCGTAGAAAGTCACGTTATGAGACTTTGCTACTTTTTGCGGGATGCTAAGGGCGTACTCGTTCAAGATGCTTACCTTGAATGCCATTTTGCTTTTACGAGAAAGAGTGGCTCGGTTCTGACAAACTCGTGTCCTGGCCCAGTATTTATATGCACGTAAGATTGCAGGGGGATCAATTGTATTTTGGGTGCCGCTGATCCCAAATGGGATTGGACATGGCCGATCAGGGGAGAGGGAAACTGTACCGCGAAACTTTTTGTAAGAAATCATTAAGAAAGGAGGATAGAAAGTGGTGGAAACGGATAGTCGAATAAAAGAGGGCATGGACAAGTTTTGGGCGTGGTTTCGACACAATTAAGATATCATTGGTTTCTTCTTATGCACTGACATCATATTTCAGTCGATGTCGATGTCTATTATATTTTAATACGGATTAAAGATATTTATAATATTATTTAATAAACTAATTGATTGTTTTTTAATTTTATGTATATGGAAGTTCCCATTAAATAAATTCTTGTATATTTTAACAAGGAAGGATGTAAAAGTACTTATATTTAATAAATGTTATTAGCTAATTCTAATTATCAATAATGATATTTTTGATGAGATGATTATGCGTTTGAAGGGTTCGTTGCACGTGACATGATCCAAATTTTATCCTTCAAAACTCACATATCCTGTATTACATAAGATAATGCTACTACATCATATGAAATATTTAATAACTTTTTTTCTTATACCGTGTCCTTCCCTTCGTTTATGTAACATGATACATATACCAATGCCGGGGCGTGATATTGTAAAACTTGTCAAGGACACACTTTCTCCAAATTGTGGCACTGACATATAAAGCGATACAGGTTCAGCACCAGTTTCCACGTAACTTTTGCACATGTGTATGTGATCTCGTTATAATACTAGATAAAGCTTGTTGAGATGTCGGCCGGAGGCAGTACGAAAATTAATAGGCGCGCCAGTGTCATTCGATTTGCAATGACGCAACTTATAATTTCTGTATATGATTCAGTTTTAACGACAAGTCATAAAAAGAGAACCATTTATAGACCATTTTATTATTTTGATCAACAAAATACAGGATCTTGAGGATGTCCTATTGATTCCTCCCCTTTCCCTTAAACATCTTTTTATGTGTTTCATCTGCCTTGTCAGTGTTTCGATTGTCTGCAATCGAGTTACTTTGCAAACTAGATCGTTCTTTATACTTGATCATCCATTCACTGATGCGTTTCTTCGTCGCATTGTCGTGGCCCACATGTTGCAGCGAGAAATCAGAAAAGGTATTATCGATCTTGAATCGTTCCGGATCGCATGAACGATCGAAATTTAAATCGTGAAGTGTTTGCAACCTGATCCAGCGCAGTTCGGCTTCCTTCATTGATATTTCTCTCTTCCTTCTCTCATTCGATTTATCAATCGAGTCTATCGACAAAGTTTCCAGCTGTCCTTGCTCTTTGGATGTTGATGGCTTTTCCTCTCCTCCACGATGGAAAACCTTGCGCTCAGCAGTTGCGTCCTTCTTTGGATGCACCGAAGTCTGCATCACCGATTTATCTGTTTCGAAATTGTGGCCTTCATGGCCGGCATTGGGATTAAGGGCTTCTGTGAAATGCTTTCAGGTACGATCTTTACCAGTTAAGCCTGTTTCACCAATCTTCTTTCTCTCATCCTGACTGAACGGCTTTACGTTGACCAACGTCATGGTATCAGAACTTGCGTCACAAGTTGCTGGGCGGTGATTTTTCATGGATTTGTATCGAATGTAAAGTTCTTTCAATATCATGGTGTTACGAGGGGACAAGGAATTGCTTTCGATCAATCGTTTCGTCATTTCAAGATATTCCGCCATTGGGGACAAATCTTTTGAAAGTTTCTCATTAGGCCAATCGATAGATATTACGACAAAAATAGATTTACCTGTTGAGACATTAGAAGTGAAACCTTGATCTGCGTTTGCATTATCGATCATCAAATTTTGAACATCTTCGGTCATTAATTCGTAAGATTGTGTAGGCAATGCATTTTCGCTTCCCCAAGCATCTGGTATCGGTGGTTTTTCTTGCATTATTTTATTGGGAAAGGAAAATGATATAAATCATTATATTAGGTTATACATTAATATTTATTACGATTAAATGGCGCATCGTAGGAATACATCATTTGTTCCTTGTCGTTGTATATTATAAACTAACACTTATATAATAATTTTTACTTATCGAATGTGTCACTTAATCATAAATAATTGATTTATTCTTGATAAATAGAAAAAAAGAGAGTAAAAGTCAAAAACAGAAAAACTCGACGAGGATGGGATTCGAACCCACGCGTGCAGAGCACATTGGATTAGCAGTCCAACGCCTTAACCACTCGGCCACCTCGTCCGATGGACAGTTAAGCTTTAAATGTTCTTAATACTGTCAAAGTATTTTATTTTGCATTAATTTCCTTTCACTTTCTGTTATCTCATAAACAATTATACTGTATATAACAGACTTCAGTACATGCTAGAATGTATTGTCTCATCTGCCACGCATAGCATATGCGTTTTAATGGTCAATGTGCATAAGCATATTATGTAATACAAGTACGTAATACACGCACATTCTACGTATATAAGTTATATTATCAATAAAATTTATGTCGTCATATTTTGTCTATAACACTTCTGGGTTTAAATTTAAAAATGAAGAATGCAATATATTCGATAAGATTTACTTTATCGCTGCTTCTTCACGTAATAATATCATATATATTTACTTCTGTTTTTTAACTTTACTAAATCTTATCATGTCGTTTCTTCTTGTATTTCGCAAATGATGTTTTCGTCTAATATAAAACGTCAGAAACAGCCTGTACTCGTTAAATTTATGTATCCGCACGATATCGAGGCCTCTTATTCTAGCGTGCTTACGTAAAATCTTTTGTTCAGGTTCTAAGTAAACGTAAAATATTGTACTTAAGTTCGTTAGGTAATCGCATGAATACTAGCTTGTCAGCATTATTCTTACATATGTACCAATATGATTTAGGATTTACGAGAGTCTCGTTATTGTCAACGCCATGGAAAGTACGATGAATACATACGACGAGTATACGCCGGTATATGATGAACAGATTGTAAAACGTTTTGAAAATGAATTCTCAAGAATCAAAGGTAATTTATTTATTTTTAATAAATAAACTACCCATTTACTTTCAGTAGAGAAGCATTAATTTTATCATTTGTTTTGCAGAAGAATGTTATTTGGACCATGCTGGAGCAACTTTATATTCTGATACTCAAATAAAAAATATTGCTGCTGACCTTCATCACTCACTTTATGCTAATCCACACTCCATTGGAGGTGCAAGTAACATAACACAAGATATCATAGAACGTATGAGATATCTGTAAGGAATTTGATAAGGAACATTTTATTCACAATATTTAAAGATTGCTATAACAACAATTTTTCATTGCTATAGGATTTTGAATCATTTCCATACATCTTCTGAAGAATACAGTGTTATTTTCACATCTGGTGCAACTGAATCTTTAAAGATAGTAGCTGATACATTCTTGTTTCACAAAGATCAGACAACTAATGTATTGTCCTCTTCAGGACATTTTGTGTATACACAAGATAATCATACTTCAGTCCTTGGTATGCGAGAAGTTGTTGTTAAAAGAGGAGTAAAAATAACTTGTTTAAGCCATGATAATGCCTTTAAAATTCTTAATTACCCTTTGAATCCTTTGAGTTCTTGTTCACAACAGGATAGCAATTCACTATTTGTGTATTCAGCACAGTGTAATTTTTCTGGATTAAAGTATCCTCTAAAATGGATCAAAAATGTACATGATGGAGTTCTCTCTAACACAGTTAATGATACATCCACCAAATGGTATGTTTTGCTTGATGCTGCTGGTTTTGCATCAACAAATGATTTGGATCTGTCTACATTCAAACCAGATTTTGTTTCTCTATCTTTCTACAAAATGTTTGGTTACCCTACTGGGATTGGAGCTTTGCTGGTCAAAAATTCTAGTGCTGATGTATTGCAAAAAGTTTATTATGGTGGTGGTACTGTAGATGTTTCTTTGAGCTCTGAAATGTACCATGTAAAACGTAAAAGTTTACATGAAAGGTATACATCTATAAATTATGTGAAGAATTAAAATTTTTTCTAACTGCTTTGTACTTTTTTTTATAGATTTGAAGATGGTACGGTACCATTTTTGTCCATAATATCCTTAAGACATGGCTTTGACATATTATCATCTATAACAATGGAAGCAATTTCAAAACATGTCTTTTCTCTTGCAAAATTTTTATACAAATCTTTGTTAATGCTTCATCATAGCAATGGACAACCAGTTGTAAAGTTGTATTCTGATACTGTTTATGAAGATTGTAATTTGCAAGGGGGTATTATTGCATTTAACCTTATACGTTCTAATGGTGAATATGTAGGATACATGGAGGTTTTACATGTAGCAGCCTTATTTAAAATACATCTCAGGACTGGCTGCTTTTGTAATCCTGGTGCATGTCAAAGGCATTTAACATTATCAAACAATGATATATTACAGAATTATGATTCTGGATATGTCTGTGGAGGAGCTACAGACTTAATAAATGGCAAACCAACTGGTGCTGTGAGAGTTTCATTTGGATACATGTCTACACTTAAAGATGTTCAAACTTTACTACATATGATTGAAGAATATTTTGTAGATAAACCACAAATAAAGAAAGTACCAGCTTGGTGGTTAGAGTATAAAACAACTTTAAATGAAAAATATTATTACCATAATACAAGTACAAAAGATACAAACAATGATACACGAAATAATACATTACAGAACATAAAAGAATCAGTCAGTCATTTTATTAATGATAATCGATTCTTAAAGTTGATGGTATATAATAATATATCCAAGAAAGAATGTATTTTAGAACAGTTATACATATATCCAATAAAATCATGTGCAGCTTATAGAATAGCAGGTTCCTGGAATCTAAATTCTAAAGGTCTACAATATGACAGAGAATGGATGATTGTTTCATCCTCTGGTACTTGTTTGACACAAAAACAACATATCAACCTTTGCTTATTAAAACCAATCATAGATCAGGAAAGAGGAATTATGCAATTAAATTATCCAGGTACAAATCTAATTATTTTTATCTACCAGTCAACTTTCTTACTTTAAAATATTTTAGGAGTTGCTGCAATTGATGTTCCTTTACATAATGACTCAGTAAGAACTGTGGAAGGAACAATATGCCAAAGTCGAGTTTGTGGACATAAAGTGGAAGGTATTGACTGTGGTTCAGATGTTTCTGAATGGTTAAGTTTAGCATTAGGGTTACCAAATTTGAGACTTATAAGACAAAGTGATAATGACCACAATAAAAAAGGTATAGCTTCAGTAATAATTTATGCAAATTATAATTAATTTTTTAATTGCATTTCCTTCTGCAGGAAACAATAAGCCTGAGTTATCATTTTCTAGTCAAGCTCAATATTTATTGATAAACAAAGCAAGTGTATTATGGCTTGCTAATAGGGTATCTGATAAAGAAGTTCAGAAAGAAACTATCATACATAGATTCAGAGGAAACATCATATTAAGTGGTTGTGAAGCTTTTGAGGAAACACAATGGAAACATATGCAAATAGGAAAAAATAGTTTTACAGTACGTATTCATAAAACATGAAACAAGAACAAGAATATAATCAATATTAATATAAATTTCTTCAATTAGGTATCTGGTCCATGTACTAGATGTCAAATGATATGCATTGATCAAACTACTGGTAAAAAAACAATAGAACCATTGCGTACGCTTGCAGAGCAATTTCATGGGAAATTACGTTTTGGTATTTATTTAACTAAAGAAACCAAAGAAGATGGAATCATTACTGTTGGAGACATTATTCATATTTCATAAGTGGAAGTTTCTCATTTGCAAAAATGTGCAATATTCTCAATTCCACAGAATATGATTTTTTGAGGTTATATCGATTTCAAATCATAAATATACATAACAGAGTTAGTATAGTATTTTACAATTTATATTTTATCAAGTATTAAATATGAACTGAATTGTTCTATTAGATTTTATGTATATTTTTTATACATATGTGTCCTACTAATACGACATTGGTATATCATGGATACCAACATTTGTATGCTAGAATAGTTCTGTCTTTTTATATAATTAGTAAAAAAAGAATGTATATTTATATGGCGCAAGTATATTGTAAGAAATAAAAATAATTATTACATAAATAAAATTATTTAAAGTTTTTATTTTTAATGTTGGTGACACTGTAATTAGCAGCAAGTTCCGCACTGTTGTTCTACGCACACCTGTCGTGCGTCACTGTGAACCAGTTCAGTATAGATCGTGAATTTTGTGTGACGTGTTGGATTTTACATTGTTCTGTTGTTCATTTTCGTATTTTAAAGGTTATAGTTCACGATAATAAGTTGCGTTGCATTTACAGTGTTTTGTTTTAAAAGGCGCGAATCATTTGAAAATTTTATACTTAGGCAACAGGTGTCTAATATCTACACATGTTTTGATAGCGGTGATATCTGTTTTCATAATAATTAAACAAACAAATTTAAGCGATAATTTTTTATCAAGAGCATTTTGAATCATGCTTAAAACGATCAATACTATTTTATGGAAAAGTGTCTATCTTAACTAAGTCTAACATTCAAATTGTGATAATCGCGCCTTACCAATCAATTCTCAAAAATGGAATACGATTATCTTATTAAATTTTTGGCTCTCGGAAATTCTGGAGTCGGCAAAACAAGTTTTCTGTATCAATATACTAATGGCACGTTCGATTCCCGATTTATATCCACTGTCGGCATTGACTTCAAAGAAAAACGCGTGGTAAATAAATTATTCTATTATGTGCTAATTATCATTGTTATTACTGCAAAATTAATTTTTTATTTATTACTGTGACAGTGTTTTATTTAAAACATTTTATAAATCTATATCTGAGTCATATACATAAATTATATATATGTAAATGACTTTAGACACATATGTTACTACTTATAAGCAAGTATAATTACCTATTACAGATATACCAGACAACAAATGGTAGAACTCAACGTGTTCATTTACAGCTGTGGGACACAGCTGGCCAAGAGCGGTAACAATTGCTATATTTGAGTTTAAAATCTATTTTAAAGCACTAATATTCTTTAAAAATAGTCCACAACATATATAAAATATATCAGTGTTACTTAATGCTTTTTTTATGTACACTAATTAATATAACATAAAAATAAAGAACATAATATTATTAGTACAGAAGGCTTTAATTGTTATGTAAATATGTAATGCCTTTGAAATTCAGGTTCAGAAGTTTAACTACAGCCTTTTACCGGGATTCCATGGGTTTCCTTCTAATTTTTGATCTAACCAACGAACTATCCTTTCTAGAAGTTAGAAATTGGCTGGAACAACTTAGGGTACTCATACTTTATTAACATTGTTACTGTAAGACCAATATAAGTTTGATGAATAGTTTTATCGAACAATGATTTGAGTTAACATATACATAGCTACAATTCTATGCATGTTGTATGATGTGTATGCATGAAAAACAACTTTATCTAATAAGATTTGTATGCTGTTAAAAAATTATACAAAGAATGGTACTGGTTACAAAACGGAAATTTTTTATTTATACATGAGCTCAAACTATCGTTCGATCGAACAATCGTAAACAACGAGCAATAACAATTTATCGTGTTAAAAAGAATAAATGTTTATTCCGCGACTCGATATTTAACAAATTTCCGTAATTTTCGTTCGAGTCATAAATCGGAGAATTTCTAGTGAAGACAGAACGATCTCAGATACATTCATTGAAAGTCACTGTTTGCCTTTCTCAAATTATTTGATCGTAAAATATCGAAGCCATAGTTGGCCTGTTTTCGCTACGAGCTTTTCCTGTTCTTGTATTATATCGTAGCACGTTCTGTTTGACTAACCGTTTTCATTCCATCTCGATTCTCTTGTTTGATCGTTGATTCGTATTTGTGTACCTGTAGACTCACGCATATTGCGAAGATCCAGACATAATTCTCTGTGGAAACAAATCCGATCTCGAAGACAAACGGGTTGTTAGTGAACATAAGGCTCGGGAATTAGCGGAGAAGCATGGGTAAATAGCATAGTACATAAAATTCATTATGTTCGATCATCAATTCATGTTCTTGCTTTTCATATCATTCTATCGACACATTGTACATTATTCGAGAGCTGTAATAGTTGATGAGTTGAGCGTGAGATATCTTATTACACGGAAGTCTCGATTAAAGTATGAAATAAACTATGTTTCTCAGCTTGGTGTACCTGGAAACGAGTGCAGCTACCGGTCAAAACGTGGCACGTGCCGTGGAGATACTGTTGGATCGTGTGATGCGGAGGATGGAAAGTACCGTGGATAAGTCATTATTGCCTCATCAAAGAGTTCTACGATGTCACGAGCGTGATACACCGCCACCCAGTACTTCCTGTTACTGCTGACACTGTCCGTTCGTGTAGCTGAATAAATTGCCTCGATCATCCCTCGTACGTTTGAGGCAACATCGTGCGATTCACATTTTATTCAGCTAACAACATGCTCTTATCGAGTTGCATTCGAATCTCTTGTCGTTCGACGTTTAACATGTGCTCTTTAACGTGTAAGCGCGGCAGAATATCGATCATGCTCGATAAATGATGAGAAATTGTAATGGATCAGATTTCAGTACTGAATATTTTACACGACACCCTTTACGTATAGTATTACCTATAAATTTTGAATACAAGAATTTCAGGTTGTACGCATAGTCTAGTGAATGGATGATCGATGTTCTGTTGTACATCTCTGGAACCGTGCTAATACGCTTGTAAACAAAGCCGTTGATGAACTATTTCGCAAACTGCACATCTGTGCATTGTTGTACTCTGAAAACGATCCGCGTTGTTTCACGCATCCATACGAACATACTGTCGTCTTCCATGATCGCTTCTCCTAGTACGGAATTGTTCCGATTGCAATCCGTAAACTTGTACCTCTGACGTATACGTTCGTCTTTCAGTGTTCCGCGATTACGCGATTTACTTGTTACCGTCGTACGCACAACGTGTTCAATAGGGTATTCAGAGTGTTGCTTAATACGGAAGAACTGTTTTAAGGATAGATGTCGCGTTGGGAAATTATTAAAAAGATTATCAACACTCGGAAATTCGAGTTGTAGTCGAAATACTTCCCAGATATTAGGTGGCACTCTATACATATATTACAAGTAAAATTACAATCGTAGCTCTTAAATTCTAAATTCTAATTCTAAACACCGGCACTTGCAGCTCACCTCTGCCGCGTGTTCACAGCGCTGTGAACCCCCCATGATCCACTTGGGCGCAGAACGATTGACAAAAAATAACGGGGTATACTACAAGCTAACGAAAGTTAAAAGAACTTTCTATCACAAAAAAAAAGAAAGTTAGAAGAACTTTCTGTCAAAAAAGGGGATGAGTATTTTTCGCCAAGTGAACCTCGCTTTCCATGGGTCAAAGGGTAGTCCATAGTGGCTTACGTGAACCACGACGGCAAAGATGAACCGAAGATACCTTTGGCAAGAACGAGTGATACACCCCAGTTGGCGGAGGGTTCCCATTTCCCCCAGCGCTCTCGCGTCTTACCACAGAGAGGATACCCAGACCGTGATGCCCCTTGGCAGAATGGCGGCGGGTCGGGGAGGCACATCAGAGTATGAGAGGTGCCAACCCCGATCCGCCCCGCCGGGCAAAGAATATCACTCGCGCTACACCGGCACTTGCAGCTCACCTCTACCGCGTGTTCACAGCGCTGTGAACCCCCCATGATCCACTTGGGCGCAGAACGTTTGACAAAAAATAACGGGGTATACTACAAGCTAACGAAAGTTAAAAGAACTTTCTGTCACAAAAAAAAAGAAAGTTAGAAGAACTTTCTGTCAAAAAAGGGGATGAGTATTTTTCGCCAAGTGAACCTCGCCTTCCATGGGTCAAAGGGTAGTGCATAGTGTCTTACGTGAACCACGAGACAGAAATGAACCGAAAATACTGGCAAGAACGAGTGACACATCCGCGGAAAGTTTCCCATTTCTCCCCGCTTACGTTTTAGGTAAGTCTTACTGCAGAGAGGAAACCCTGCCGTGAGGCACCCGATCGAGACGGAACATCAATCGATCGGCCCCGCAGAGATATGTCCCTAGCGCTACACCAGTACTTGCAGCTCACCTCTGCCCGTGTTCACAGCGCTATGGACCCCCAATGATCCACTTGGGTTCGGACCGATTGACAAAAAATAACGGGGTATACTACAAGCTAACGCGTGCAAAGTTGGAGAATTGGGACGATGAGCGCAAGTTGGAATGAGAGGTACTTACAGGGACCCACCCGCCCTGCCCACGAGCACACTTAACTTAAAACAAACGCACGCATAAAATTAACTTAAAACTAGCGCACGCATCCCTCGATGATCCCTCGATGATCCCTCGATGATCCCTCGATGATCCCTCGATGATCCCTCGATGATCCCTCGATGATCCCTCGATGATCCCTCGATGATCCCTCGATGATCCCTCGATGATCCCTCGATGATCCCTCGATGATCCCTCGATGATCCCTCGATGATCCCTCGATGATCCCTCGATGATCCCTCGATGATCCCTCGATGATCCCTCGATGATCCCTCGATGATCCCTCGATGATCCCTCGATGATCCCTCGATGATCCCTCGATGATCCCTCGATGATCCCTCGATGATCCCTCGATGATCCCTCGATGATCCCTCGATGATCCCTCGATGATCCCTCGATGATCCCTCGATGATCCCTCGATGATCCCTCGATGATCCCTCGATGATCCCTCGATGATCCCTCGATGATCCCTCGATGATCCCTCGATGATCCCTCGATGATCCCTCGATGATCCCTCGATGATCCCTCGATGATCCCTCGATGATCCCTCGATGATCCCTCGATGATCCCTCGATGATCCCTCGATGATCCCTCGATGATCCCTCGATGATCCCTCGATGATCCCTCGATGATCCCTCGATGATCCCTCGATGATCCCTCGATGATCCCTCGATGATCCCTCGATGATCCCTCGATGATCCCTCGATGATCCCTCGATGATCCCTCGATGATCCCTCGATGATCCCTCGATGATCCCTCGATGATCCCTCGATGATCCCTCGATGATCCCTCGATGATCCCTCGATGATCCCTCGATGATCCCTCGATGATCCCTCGATGATCCCTCGATGATCCCTCGATGATCCCTCGATGATCCCTCGATGATCCCTCGATGATCCCTCGATGATCCCTCGATGATCCCTCGATGATCCCTCGATGATCCCTCGATGATCCCTCGATGATCCCTCGATGATCCCTCGATGATCCCTCGATGATCCCTCGATGATCCCTCGATGATCCCTCGATGATCCCTCGATGATCCCTCGATGATCCCTCGATGATCCCTCGATGATCCCTCGATGATCCCTCGATGATCCCTCGATGATCCCTCGATGATCCCTCGATGATCCCTCGATGATCCCTCGATGATCCCTCGATGATCCCTCGATGATCCCTCGATGATCCCTCGATGATCCCTCGATGATCCCTCGATGATCCCTCGATGATCCCTCGATGATCCCTCGATGATCCCTCGATGATCCCTCGATGATCCCTCGATGATCCCTCGATGATCCCTCGATGATCCCTCGATGATCGATGTCTTCAGTGGTGAACTATTCATTACCTGCAAAATAAGGAAGTGTGACAATAAAAAAAGGTAACAGAAAAGGAAATGCAGAATTATCTAGTTAAAATAAAAACCTGGAACATCTGAATGAAATTAAGACAAACAAGAATTGTTAACGTAAAAACCTGAGACATCTCAATGATATTAAAACAAACAAGAATCGTAAAAATAGAACCCTGAAACATACAAATACAATTAAGACACATATGAAACATTGAAAATTGCTTGTATAAAATGAAGTCCTGAAACACACAAAAAATAATTAGAACAAATATGAAACATTAAAAATTACTTAGATAAAATGAAAACCTGAAACATACAAAAATGATTAAGCCCTAAGTGTGCCTTTTGTTCTAAAATTGCACTTGTATAATTTAAAACTTTGTAGAGAAAAGGGGTAAAGAAGAAAGTTGGAAGAACTTTCATTTAAGTTTCGAGCAACAAGTTTGGAGCAATTGACAATAAAAATGATAGGCTACTACTACAATCTAATATGTAACATGTTAAAAAATTGACTTGAAGATGAGTGCAAGTTAGAACAAAAGGCACTTTGCGCAAGCTTTTCGCCACGTGTCGTGACGAAAAACCTGCGCCCGAGCCCACCCTTCCTCCCACAAGCTCGGAATTAATTACGAATTCAAGATCAGTCAACAATAAAACATTTTATACAAAATCAATTCCTGAAACAGAGAAAAATAATTAACACATAAAATTGAGATACAAATATCGTATCTCGAAATATAATCGCGAAGGGATATAAAAATCTCTAATTTCATAAAATAATCGCGAAGGGATAGAAAAATCTCTAATTTCGTAATAAAATCGCGAAGGGATACTAAAATCTCTAATTTCGTAATAAAATCGCGAAAGTATAAAAATCTCGAATCGCGAAGGGATATGCAAATCTCTAATCTCAAAATTTAATCGCGAAGTTATGCAAAAATCTCTAATCTTGAAATTTAATTGGAAGGGCATAAAAATCTCGAATCGCGAAGGGATACAAATAAAATCGCGAGTGGCTATGCTCGTAAAAATTCGAGCAAAACGTGACGATACATTTCGTATCGTTCAAAAAGCACATG